GAAATTTGACCTAATTTGACCTGACCTTGACCTGACCTTGACCTGACCTTGACCAAAACGTGACCTAAGCTGGCCCTAAAGTCTGTCTGACCCACATAATCGCATTGGCATTTGTCATGTAAAATGGACCATAAAACATGTATCACATGACACTTTCATATTGTGACCCCCCAGTGACCTGACCTCTGTGACCTGACCTGGTATCAGTGACCTCAAATAGCAAAATATGTGTTTGAAGAACATTTCCCCATCGATGATTTTCAATGAAATGCATTTTACACGATTTTACAACGCATTTCTTGAAATGCCTGTAAACGGTGAAAATTCGACCTTTGACCTGACCTGTGACGTCATCGGTTTGACCGAGGTCAATGAAATTGGGTCACAAGGTAGTTCCCCGTTGGGGCTATCCAACACCGTTTACCGCTTGTCGCTATGTTGCGTGGTTCTCGAGATCTGAGGGGGGGGCAAAATGCCCCCCCCCCCCCCATCAGACCGCGTTGCTCGGCAGACCCCATCTGGGCGCGGGTTAATAGGATACTTGTGTTCTTGTGTAGTACGACACGACACGACACTTGACACGGCATTTGACACTGCCAGGTCAGCTAACACAGGACCTATTTGTCCAGTGCCATGAATGACAAATTGCATTATGGCGCTCCTGTATCTTGTCTTTCGTCGTACATATGAGTTGATGAATGTTAGTATACATAATTAGGGACGGCATGTCATTTCTGCTTGTATATTGAGGTAGTTAGGTGCGCTCTCTCTCTCTCTCTCTCCCTCTCCCTCTCTCCCTCTCCCTCTCCCTCTCCCTCTCCCTCTCCCTCTCCCTCTCCCTCTCCCTCTCCCTCTCCCTCTTCCTCTCCCTCTTCCTCTTCCTCTTCCTCTTCCTCTTCCTCTTCCTCTTCCTCTTCCTCTCCCTCTCCCTCTCCCTCTCCCTCTCCCTCTCCCTCTCTCTCTCTCTCTCTCTCTCTCTCTCTCTCTCTCTCTCTCTCTCTCTCTCTCTCTCTCTCTCTCTCTCTCTCTCTCGCTCCACACACTACCATCATCTACCACCCGTCGAATCACAACGGGCCCCCTATTGGTGATATCATTGTCTATGCTGATCTAAGACAGCCATCCATATACCGTACATCATCGGTAGGTCGTTCATTTGTAATGAACTTGGGCTGCAGGTCACTGTGGCAAAATAAACCAACTGGTCTGGTCGTCAATGCTCGACTACCACACGCAGACTGTCGCGTAAGCGATCGGAATGAATGGCTGAAGCACGGTTTGCGTTTGTGATGACGTTGATGCCGGTAGTTTTGTTTTTCAGTTGATTAGTTTTCCACTTTCTAGCTTGGTGATATTTATATACGCTGGAGACACGTTTTGGAATATATTTTGCCCCGGTTCTTCCCGCAATGCAAAGTTTACACATGCACATCATGGTGATTGGCATTTCATCGTCACATTTTCCATTCAATTCAAAATCCAAAGCTTCGCATTTCGCAATCCCATGCCATCTTCCATTAAATATTCATGACTGGCGTTTTACAGTCTGCGTTCTGGCTCTGCAGAGCCGGTGGCCGTATGATACTGTGTATGGGCCCGGCCGGAGAGCCATAGCTTAGCCGTTCTGTATACAGCTGTCAGCGCTGAGCTAACAGAACAGCTGAGCAGCCTGTGAGCTACCCAGCTGCCGCTGCTCGTTGGGCTCGACGAGATGTGCGGAGGCCTGGGTTTGTTGGGCTGAGTAGGACGGTGTTCTGTGCTTTCATACGCGGGACTCCGTTTTGTTGAGTTTTTTTTTTGTGTTGTGTTGGATCGGTGCGCTTAACTTGGATGTGGAGATTGCAACGAGCTTTTTTTGCATTGTTGTAGTTTCGCCTGTTGAAGAGGGAAACGCCTTTTCAGCTCGACTGGGCCTGGCTGTGGCAGACTGGCTCTGAGAGATGTAAAATATGGTGGTGATCCTCGTGTGCCACCCACTGATGTGGTTTGCCTCAATAACTTCAGCTCTGACCACTGGCTATAATTTTTGACGTTACATTTATCAGATATGCCGGCGACATCCACTCTGCGTTACGCACGCTAGGTGTGTACTCTGGATGGGGCCATGATGGGGCATCCAGAGTTGGTCGGCCTTTTTTTTCGAACACTCGACTAGCTGACTGGTGGATTTGTTGATATTTGTATTCTCGGCACGCTGGTTTAATGTCTCCCCTACCTCGGGCGATAGCGGCTCGCCACTCGCGTCCCGCCTTTATGGTGCATTGTGTGCCATCGAAGCGAGGCGGAAGGAACACAACGCGGGATAGCGCCAAAGTTGGGCGCCAAAATCCGACGCGATGGTTTTTGTTCTGCCGGATTCCCATTTTCTTGAGAGGCGAGGCTTTGCTTGCTCAGACACGTGTGAAGTTTTACAGCTGGGGAGGCAGTGGCTAAAGGAAACGATCTGCGGAAGTTGGGCATCAGATATCAACCCCTGCGGATGAGAGGCGTAACGGAAATGATGAAGACTGGCACCTTTGATTCGGCATGATTATTTTCATTTTTCAGATTCCTTCGTAAATCAAAATGGCATACATATTACGCATTGAGATTTGCATGCTATTTTGTTGCAGCATATGACATGTATGGCCGTTTTTACAAAGTGTTTGACTTCGATAAAGGCAGCTTTGTTGACAAGTAGCCTTCGCCGCACCCGTACTTAGCCCTAACGACTTGGACGCGGCAAAAAGTCTAGTCCCAACAGGATTTGATCCCTCCTCTTCCGCCCCGCACAGTCAGCGGTCTGTAGCTGGCAATCAGCTGACTGCGGGGGCCGTGATACGGCAGTTCTCAAACTCAGTGGACAGTCATTGACTCGAGCCCCGCTGTGCGTTGCATGCCACTGTCTGGCATTTATTACCATCGTATACCATACAGTAATGACCGTATAAACTAGTTTCATGTTTTACTGACTGGCGCCATGCGGCGAGCAGCTTCCAGCCTTGTTGCTTGGCTCGTACTTTGGTGTTAGGCTGTACTCGAAGAACAAAGCATGACGAAGAGATTGCTGTACCGCCTGTAGACGTCGGCGATTTTACAACGGTTCCATTGAGAACGTTTCTTTGCTAGACTTACCGCTTGTTGTGTCGTGAGGCATTATGTCCGTTCGATTTACTGTCATGTCCGTTAAGCCAGAGGATTGTAGCCACTATCCAGGCGCTTAAGACCATGTGACAGATATGGGGCTCATGATTTGCCGAACTGAATTAATCACAACTCATAGGAAGGAACGATTGGGTGTTCATGAAAATAGACGTCATTTTTTATCAGCCTCGGCATTTGTTGACAATGAGCAGTAGGCCGAACGGTGTATAACCACCTGGAAACCTGTCATTCCCATGCGTTTATACAGCCGTCTATATCACATTTACTGTCATTCGTTTTCAGCTGATGACTGCAGCACGGCATATTTATCGTCATTTTACAACAAACACAAACGGGGCACGGTGTGCATACGTTTGAATGCGGATAATTACGAGTGCCTGAATACTTATTCAGAGCGTAGGATGCATAGACCTTTAACACTCTTCGTAGGTTTTCATATTCGAATTTCGTGCCGTCCTCTTACTTAGTTCAATTATCTCTATTGCATTATGTGTGCAGCGGCCAGCGACCTTTGCGCATAAGATCTTCGCGTCCGTCCCATACGCCCTAACATGAAACATTTATTCCCCAATTGGTCGAGATTGCTAGTAAGGTTAGCGATCAGGTGGCCTGAGCCGGCCTCTGGCGTTTTATGGCTACGTAAGTCTATCGTGTGCTGACGTTTAGGGTTGGTACATACCCGTCACCACCTGCTCTATAGGTACCGCTGCATTTATGGAGTTAGTGGGTATACTGCGGTCCGTGTCTTTATGGAGCTGTGGACTCTGAGGGAGTTACTTTGAATGGGGTTAGGCGATGGTCATATTCTCTTCCTCATCTCAACCAGTTAGAGGTTTTGCATCGTGTTTCTTTCCATGTGAGCTCCCTGTAACCCATTGCTCATAGCAGACCATATCTATTATCTACCTCTACAAAGCTTTGACGCGATACACCAGACACAACATCTTCCAACGATCAACCACACCATATCACGTCTCCCCTTTACCCAGTAGCAGTACTCTATCACATCTCCCTCCACACTTGCAGCGCACAGTGACCGTTGTCCTGCCTCCTCCGACCCATTTATCACATGTAAACCAACGCCTCAGTCCAGCCGCTGCGGGGCACCCTACACCCACCAAGGACCCTGGAGCGCTCCGCTGACACTGCAAGAGCGTCGCACCGTGCCGGACGGCAGACCCCCGCCGTCAGCTGGTTAGGCGCCGCGGCGAGCAGCGACGCGCACCGGAGCCTAATGTGGCGCAGTAATGTAGCTAATGTGGCGCACCGCCGAGACGGAATGCGCCGCTTCATTGCGGAGGAATACGTGAGGAGATGGTGGACTGGGTTGGTGGTTGTTGGTTATGTTATCGATGGGTATGCTGTATTTGATTTATGAAGCTCCATTTGATTCGATGATGCTCGATTTCTAATCTGTTGGATTGAATGTTTATTTCAGAAGCTATGTCCTGATTATTCCCGTAAAATAAACGAAGTAGGTCGTGCCTTCGGGCTCCACAGCATGGTGCTCTTTGCTCGTTTGATTGATGGTTGCATAGAGCTCTGTAATCTGTACACCGAAGTATACAGAGGTCTATGATTATTGATATTGTATGACGATCCAACGAATAACATGATCCGACACCAGACCCAAACTGTCTTGCTTCTACTCCTAATGCGACTTGTGGCTTACCCTCACCTTTATCTGCATTTACTATGATCAAAAACTATTAACAGGTGTCTTTGCTAACCTCTTCTCTCCGCCTTCCACAGACCTCTCCGCCTTCCACAGACCTGAAGGTTTCAATCTCCTACGGGTTTAAAGTTGACTCTTGGCTCATGACGCTTGGCTAACCCCTTCTCTCCGCCTTCCACAGACCTGAAGAAGTCGTTCCACACGCCACCGTTCTCGGACCGCGTGGAGGTGGACCAGACTGTGGAACTCCGCTGTGTTCCACCGGATGGCAACCCTGTGGCAGAGCTCAGCTGGACCAAGAACGGCGTCACCATCGACGCCAAGCAGGACCCTAACTACATCATCTCCAACGAGGGCAACCTGCTCATCGCCGCGGCGAAACTCTCCGACATGGCCAACTACAGCTGTGTGGCAGAGAACGTGGCCAACCGACGCGTCAGTCCACCAGCACGGCTCACCGTCTATGGTAAGTGCTCGGGGTTGTTCGGGCTACTGGCTGGTCATTCATGGATCCCAGGAGGTGGTCGAACGAACAGGTAGGTCTGTTTCTAACTGGGATACCCTGACTTGCAGAATGCAGCATGCTAAGCGCTTGTGTTGGACATTTAGTGATGTTCACTGTGTGGGGCTAGTGTATCCAGTAATGCTATGCAGGAATCCTACTGGTTGTCTCTGGTGTAACACCTAATAACATCTTGGCGTCGCGGGGTAGGCCATTCGCCATGCCAACTCAGGCATGCCCAATGGACAGTGCCAAGCGCAGCATGGCAGGTGTCTAGATTCGAATCGGCCTGTCGGACAGGGTCTTTAGCATTCATCGGAGTGGTAATGCGTCCATCTGCAGTCGACTAAAGAGACGTTGCATCTAATGTGATCTCTTGGGCTTGACTCTAGTTAGCACGTCAGAGGTATCAGGTTCGTCACACGGGCAGTTAGTTCTCTTCCCGACCTGACTTTCTGCCCGGTCGAAATAATTTCAAAACATGTGGCACTTTCAGTTCTCTGTTGTCTGGCGATGACGTGAAGTTTGTCAAAATCTCTCTGTTGGCTTATAATTCTTGAAAGCAAGAACATGCTGTCGTCCTTGACCGGTTGTTGCATAGTCTGACACATGCTGGTCTTGCAACATGTGCTACCAACCGTGAAAGGGACGCTCACTGTTTTCACCAGGATTCAGAACTTCTCGTTGCGAGGACGTTGATGTCGTTTCTCTTCAGCCAGCATTCTGACACTCATGAATGGCATGTCACTTTTGGACAACGCGGAACTCAGCTTTTTCAGAATTCCGGCATCATAAGACTTTTAGTCTTTCCAGTCTGACGTCCTTGAATTGCCGTGTTTTCAAGCCTAGTGTCCATCTTCTTTCAAACCTGACCTCTGAGTCTAACTTTTTACTGCTCGGCGTATTTGAAGCCCAGCGTCTTTCAAGCGTGGGGTCTTAAGCGTTCAACGTCTTTCTAGGCTTGCTCTTTCGCGATCAACGTCTTTCACGGTCCTTGGATTTGCCGTCTGTCCACTGCCACGTCAGTTGAGAGGTCACATATCTGTCATCAGCCCCGCCTCTCTGCGTTACCTTTCAGTGAATTTTATCACTAGCGATCGTCCTAGTAGTGCCTCCAGGGCGCTCGTGCCACGAACTGGCCGGCGCGGCGGAGGACAGGTCAGTGTTGGCCGACATCGTCCCGCCCCGTAGGAGCTGTCAACACAGAGGCACGAGACAGTCGGCCGAGGGTTGGGGACCCTGCGCGGCCCCTCTGATATGCAGATAGACGGCGGGATGTCAGAGCAAGGCCATATACAACGCATAGCGATACCCAGACAGGAAGCCGTTGTGCATTTCTGCTTCGGAATATCCAGGCAGCTGCAAGGTAGATGATTGCCTGCATGCTTGTTTTCATGCGAAATGCTTATGAATAGTAATGGCGGTAGGTAAGTATCTAAAATTCAATTAGCTCTGGCCATTTGTCATGCCACAAGCTGATAATTCTCGGACGATTGATTGCCTACAGGTACGTTTATTTGTAGGCATCATTTTTGTGGCCACCGATCAGATGTGTGAAGGAGATTTATTCACATTAGTGAGTATTTTTAGTATGCCCATACTTTCACAGGCAACCCGACTTCGAAAGGTGATTGTGTCTTAGCCGCTTAGGTACTCTATAAGCAGATCACAGATGTATACTTCCTTTCGTTTACTTAGTCATCCGGCTACTTGATAACGGAAGACACTCATCAGCAACTAAAATGGGTAAGCTGTACCTGTTTAGACACCGATGAAGCTATTTTTCGTGATTCAGAACAACCACTAGGTCCCTAAAACCTGGATGATTCACGGTACACAGCTTATACCTTATCGGCCTTCAACATGGCGAAACTTTCCCACACGGCATAAAGCTCCGGCGACACATGACTGACCCAAATTAGTCGGCTGCTGTTTTAAACATTTTATGCGATCAACATTAGCGATAGGTCTGGAATGCGCCACCGCACACCCCTTCCGTAGGTGTCAGATTGAATCACTTCCCGGGACGTCAAATATGGCCGGCCGTTGCATGTCCTGTCCGTATCGTTTGGATTGATTGGTTTAACGTTACCGGTTGTGACGGTCTGACAAGTTGTCGGATGACGACTGACTTTGACGGCTATCATTGGTCGCTAACGGTAGGCTGTGTCGGTCATGCAACGAGCCACTGTTGATGGGCAAAAGAACACGCTATGTAATGTTGTGGGGAGGAGTTTTGCCACTTGGTTTGTGTGGTGCGATAGGAATTAGGTGTGATTAGTCAGTGTTCTGCATACTGGGGGAATGTGTCGGCTTGTGAGGAGGAAGTCTTACACCGGGCGAAAGGGATAATCCACGAAAGGCCAACCGAAAGCAAACACGGAAGCCATTACTTTTTGAATATCCACGCAACGTGTCATGGCCCAAAGAGCCAAAAGTATGCGAGCGGCAGGCATTCGTGTGGTCTGAATTCCACTCTCACAAGCTCTATAAACTGTAAGCATCAAGTGTATTGTGTTGTATGATGTATCAATTCATTTGTATGGGTAGGGTTCGGTGATTGAGAAATGCGTTGTACGGACCAGGGTCACGCTGTCACCAGATGTTGTCATCTGTTCTTTTCTCTGCCACACCCAGGTATATGTCGGCAAGATGTGTACTTCTGCAATGTTCACTGTGTTTTATTTGGTCATAGCCCCGACTTACTGCAGGTATAGATATCGTGGTAATCTATATATCGTATTGGCCGTTCGTGTCCAGTGGTCTGATGTCATTGTCGTTTCGACCCGTAATGTAAGGTTGTTATCTGTGGCGGAAACACTTTTCAGCTACGATTTAATGCTATCGGTGAAAGTGACATGATGATGGAATTGGCAAAGACGTATATAGGCGCTTACAATAAAACAAAGCTAGTCGGAGGCTTTAGATCAAGGACTGACAGAGGATGTTGTAGGTACTTACAATAAAACAGCCCTTGCGATGGTTTTAGATCAAGGACGGCCATAACGTTTTTTTATGTCATTCGATGGGCAATATTTTGACTGTACAACCTCGTTGTCACGCCGTATAAAACGCTAAGCGGAAGTGCCTGTTCTAGAAACTTGGTGTTGTGGTACACTACGGTTTATAGCGATGTAAGATACCGATAGATATGCATTATGCAAACACATGAGTGACTCCTCCCTTTACATGTTATCTGTTTTCCTTTCTAACACTCGCTTACACACGATATCTATCATGCTACTGGTTGAGGTTACATGTGTTATGCACGCTGGTCGTTCAACAGCATGTAAAATCAGGGACAAGTGAATAGCGATTATTTTAGAAGCAAAAAGAATACGCCTTTTCGGTGTTGAGTAGTGGTTTGGATGTCACACATCTTACAACTACCGAACTCGTCGGCTTGTGCTCGTGAAAACCCATGTTTTATGGATTCGTCATGAACTGAAGGGTGTCTTTATTCTGTCACTCCAGTTCAGGGACGGCGCCACAGGGGGGGGGGGGCAGAGGGGGCAGCCGCCCCCCCCCCCCCCAACTCTGAACACTGGGGCCCTCTTTCAGCCAGCAGGTCAGGTATGGGCGGAATACTCTCTGACTGTGCAGAAAGAAGACTTCTGGGCAGAGCTGTAGAAATGACTTCAGGAGTGGGGAATTAAGCCAAAAGGGGCCTTCTCAAGGTGCCGCCGCCAAGATAAAACTTACGGGCTTTGGCCCATGTTTTTGGAAAAGGGCCCAATTAAGCACAAAAAAAGTGAACAAAATCATTTATTTTGTATCTTGGGTGATTGTGGCCCTGTCCTATCTTCCCAGGCTGTAGAAAGGGCCCGGGCCAAAGAGGGCCCATGCCACGTCTGAGAGGGCCCATTCAATATTGAAAGGGCCCAGGCAAGGTCTGGGAGGTAAGTACCATATTATGTCTGAGAAGGGGAGGGCCCATACCAGTCATGACAGGGCCCGCAGCGGTGCTCAGATGGCCCTTGGAAGGAGTGCGAGAGCCTGTAAAATGCCTGAGAGGGCCCATACCAGCCGTGACAGGGCCCATATCAGTACTGAGAGGGCCCATAACAGTGCTGAGAGGGCCATCGCAAGTAATGTGAGGGCCCGTACCTTGACATATTACTGAGGGTTATGTCAGTCAATGACAATCATGGAAGGGCCCCCAGCAGTACTGAGAGGACTGTTGCAATGACATGGGAGGGCCCGCACCATACCTGAGAGGGCCCATACCACTCATGCGAGGGCCTGCAGAGTGCAGCAGTACTGAGAGGGCCATTAAAAGGTCTGGTAAGGTCCTTAGAATGTCTGAGAGGGTACATAGCAGGCCTCAGGAGCCCCCTAGTAGTATAAAAAGACCCATATCAAGCCTCTGAGGGTCCCTACCAGTCAAAAAAGGGCCTTTACCGGGCTCCAATGGCCATGCCAAACTGAGGATCTACCGAACTTCAGAAGGCCCATACCAGACCTCAGGGGCCCCAACTAGGCTTCAGAAGGACCATATCAGGTCTCAAGGGGCCAAGCCAGGTCTCTGAGGCCTCCACTAGGCCTTAGAAGGTTCATAATAGACTTAATGGGGACCAGGCCACAAAGTGCCTATACCAGGCTTCAGAATGTCCATACTAGGCCTAATGGGGCGTAACAGGTCTCTGAATGCCCATTCAAGACCTCAGAGGGCCCATATCCAGTCTCGGGGGAACATAGAAACTAGGCCTCATAGGGTCCCTATGATATCGAAATCGCCCGCGAGTACGCCGCACTAAACCCTGGCCGCCGGTCAACCTTCGGGGTCAACCGTACCATACTTGAGAGGGCCCATACCACTCATGCGAGGGCCGTAAGGTCAACCTAATCGCATTACCCCAGGCGCCGCTCCTGTGTCATGTGTGTAACGGTGTTTTTGGGCCGGCCCTGTCGAGCCGAGCTCCTGTTTGAGCCACTCTGTCCGTCCGAGTCACTTTCCAGCCGGG